ATCATAATTTATAATTACATCTCTTCAAAGTTAGAATTTTAATATATTTATGAAGATGTCTTTTAGAAAAAAAGAATAGAAATTATGCATTCTAGGGAATTGATTCTAAATGTGGAAAATACTCGTTTTGAATCATAGCAATGATTGTCAAGTGATGACAGTTGTAAGGATAGATTTCAGAAAGTTGGTGAAGAGACTCAAAGTTCTAGCTAAGTCAGTCAACCACTTTCAGTCTTCAGAATGATTTTAAAATCAAAAGGAACTTTGTCAAAGAACAAAATTTTCCAGGGTTGTACTGCACACATTTTATATTAAGCCTAGGAGGCAGTTTCCACGGGTAACAGAAGGACAAACTGGTGGGTGACACTTAGTGTGCCGTTAGTTAGAATGGGGCCAATGCATCTTCTGTAAACACCATGATCTCTTAGAGATAAAATTTAGTGGAAATACTGGTAAGGTAGGCAAAAATATAAAATATACAAAATAACTCCCCACCCCCTAGAGAGCATGACATTTCATGATTTGGGGGTAGTAATACTAAAATAATTTTTTAAAAATTACTTAACCTCAAAAAAACAAAATCTTCGAACTGCGAGATGACTTTGTAACTCATCCCCACTTTTAGAATGAAATCTTCCCTCATCTCTCCCCTGAAGTCTCTACTCCATGTCACCCCCTCCAAGATCATACATCCTCCCATCTAAAACCTTGCAGGGAGGCATAGCCCTGCCTGCATTTCCATTGCTGATTCCCAACGTGACACATTAGCACTTCTACCTAAGACTATCCCAGCCTTTAGTCTGGGTCAACCCCAATGGACTCTAACAATGTGATTGATCTAAAAATGTAAAAATACTCATGGTAATTTCTGCTTAAGTCCTTCTGTAGTCACCTTGAGTTTTCAGGCTGGCGCTAAACAGCCTCTTGTTCTGTTTACCTCTCTTGCCTCAGCCATTGTCACTTTCTCACAGACCCTTTACTCTTGATGACTTGAACTACAAGCAGTTCTTGAAGGCACCCTTCTATGTCACACAGCCCATCATTTGCTTTGCAACCATTCAGAAGCCTCATTGTTCCTCCTCTTCTCAACAATACCCCTCTCTGCCCTCCAGGGAAAGTGAGGCTGGGCCAAGCTCATTCCTCTCTTTCCTTCCAAACTCAGCTCCAGCACTACATTTTCTTTCTTTTTTTTGAGACAGAGCCTCAAGCTGTCCCCTTGGGTAGAGTGCTGTGGCATTATAGCTCACAGCAACCTCCAACTCCTGGGCTCAAGCGAGTCTCCTGCCTCCGCCTCCCAAGTAGCTGGGACCACAGGCGGAGGCTATTTTTTGGTTGCAGCCATCATTGTTGTTTGGTGGGTCTGGGCTAGATTCGAACCCACCACCTTAGGTGTATGTGGCTCGCACCTTAGCCACTTGAGCCGAGCACTACATTTTCTAACTGCTGTCATTGCACTTGTCGAACCACACTGTTACCAGGCTCTGATTCACGAGAGTATCACGAGCCCCTACCTGTGGGTAAACACTAAATTGCCTTATGTGAAGTCCTATTCCAAATCTCCTGGCTCATGTAGAATGTTATTCAATCAACACTACTGGTAATTTTAATTTTCTTAATAAAACTATAAACTAAACTAAATGTACAAACTGTATGTAACAAAGATTTCCCAGGTGCTATGACAGAATATTGTAGAACTTGAGTTTGTTTGACATTGGGAAGATCAGACAGAAGGAATACATATTTCCACTAAAGGAGGGATAACTGGATGGTGAAATGCAATCTGGCAGAGTCTAGTAATGTTATAAAATAGGAAAGAATAAACTCTAGTATTTAGGGACAATAATAGCACACTAACTCTTGGATGCTCTCAGAAGCTTTCGGGGGGATAATAAATGAGTCTGGCTTTTCTGGGGAAGTAGTGGTAGGACAGTGCCTAGAATGGCAACCAGCATCACCAGAGAAGAGGTTCTGATAGGCTGACATAAATGCAGAAGACTTGGGTGGAAAGGTAAATAGTTTCAAATACTTCTGAAGGGAATGGTGGAGATATTGAGATGCCTGACTGTTCACTACCAGGAAAACTGCATCAAATTGGGTCTTTGTTCTCAAAGAAATCAGGTCACTTGACTAAATAAGACTTATAAGCCCCAAGATAAGGCTCCATTTGCTGATAGGTAGATGGAAGTGGGTATATTGTCAGAGGAAAGAAAGACATCCCTACCTTACCAAAGGATTCAAAGAGAAAAGGAGGCTCATCTAAGGCTAAACTGCCTGACTAGACCAGTCTGGTACTGCCACCTGGGACCCATCCATACACGAGCTGTGCAAGTCAATATACAAGCTAAAGATGGAGTTGGTAGGATTAGAATATCAGCTGGAGAAAATATTTTTTTCCTGATAGTAACAATCACTTAAAAAAAATTGTTGTTCCAGGCCGGGTTTGGTGGCTTACACCTGTAATCCTAGCACTCTGGGAGGCCAAGAGCAGATTGCCTGAGCAAAAGCAAGACCCCATCTCTAAAAAATAGCTGGACGCTGTGGTGGGTGCCTGTAGTCCCAGCTATTTGGGAGGTGAAGGCAAGAGAATTGCATGAGTCTACTCATTCTGTCACCCTGAGTGCCGTGGTGTCCTAGTTCACAGCAACCTCAAACTCTAGGGCTCAAATTCAAACTCTTGATTCCCTTACTTCAGCCTCCCAAGTAGCTGGGAATATAGGTGGTCCCATAACGCCCAGCTAGTTTGTTTATTTTTAGTAGAGATGGGGTCTCTCTCTTGCATAGGTTGGTCTTGAATGGCTGAACTCAAGTGATCTACCCATCTTGATCTCCCAGAGTATTAGGATTACAGGCGTGAGCCACTATGCCAGGCAGATTATCAAGGATTATTTTTACATAACCATTAGTTCAGACTATGTTTCTTGGTAATCAGAAATTATGTGACAAAGGTAACAAAGTAAAAACTTTTGATTTAAGAATTTGTTATCAATGACTCATCAACAAAATCCCTGAATACCAACTCTAAGCAAAGGATTTGCAAGGAAGCAGTCACTTCTGATAGTCTATGACAAATCTGGGCACAGGCTTTGTGGGTTTTTTGGTCATTTTATCTTTGATTTACAATGTCTGAAATAGTGGCTGACAGTTAACACATGATCAGTCAAAGTTTGTGGAGAAGAATTAATTAAATGAATAGAGAATTAATGCAAGTTGTATTATATAGCACAGTTATGTAATAATATACTGTGTTTGCATCTTACATAAAGTAAAGCTGAATGCACTCAAATGTCTAACTCTTAAAAAATAAATGTAGGCACCTGGAAGCTCATTTAAGCAGCAGTAGCAGAACTGAACACCTACAAAGTCATTTTCATCACAGGTAGGAACTTGTGAATGACTCTAATGACTTATCAAAAGAAAAGGATATTGAGTGTAGGAATTTTCTCTTTCTCCTTTGGATCAGCAATCAGATTCACTCAGATCACTGATTCATGAATAGCACTATATTCTTTGAATTTTCAAGTGGCCAGTGCTTCACAAATGTTTACATTACAAGTACACACTCAGCCATCTCTCCTTTTCTCTGGTGTGGTATTCCGTGATTTTTAGCCAGACAGAACTTGAGAGTTTCCTTTATGATTTGTGTTCTTTTCTCAGTATAGTTTTTAAACAAAAAAGAAATATTTTTTCCTTTCCAGTGACGTAAGAGTACTTGAATGACTGATATGCGCTCAGAATTTCAAATGTATGCATTTTACACAAACAACAGAGTTGATTTTATTTTTTAAGTGAATGTTTAAGCAACTTAAGATGACTGGGCTGTGAAACACTTGTGCTGATTTCTGGATCTGTTTTACTTTTTGATAAAAGTTTGATAAGAAAAGGGTGAAAAAAAATCTACATTTGAGATAAAAACTTGTTTAAGCTTTAGACATTCATCTAATAACAAATGTGCAGAAATTAAAGGGGCTCAAATACTTTGACTCAATCCCTAAAAACGATAGAGTTCACAATTTTCTGAAAGAGCAGGCGTATTACAGGTAATAAGAGTGGTTTTAATATTGGAAACATAAAGGTAATAGCAAATTAAACTTTGATATTGACTGAGGAATTCTTGCTAAGGAACAATTCAGGAATTAAAAGGTCACATGGGCTTCCTATGTTATAACTATTCTACTTTTATGTCCTCAAAGCTCCTATTTTTTAATCACTCATATGAAATTATTCATAACTGATTTACTGCCTTGGACAGGAGTTATTTCCTCATCCTATTTCTTACAAATATCTTCAAAGCTCTTATAACCTAGATGGCAACAGAGGAAGTGAAATGAAATGGTATGGGGGGGGAGAAAGGGCAATGCTCTTAAATCAAAGAGCACACAAAGGTGAATGGTTAGGCTCATGAATATCTCAAAAATTCTCTTAGAATTTTGCTCCAGGGGAGCCTTTCACTTGCATCACCCAAAGGAAAAGCTAATAATAGAAACTAAACTAAACTGAACAAAATAGAACTTTCTTGACAGTAATCATCAAATGAGCATCTCTTAGAAATTAATCACTTTATTAGCCGGTAAGCAACCACGAGAAAACATTTCTCCTACGGGACACTTTTTCTTGGACTAGTACAGGAATCCCCTGCCCCTTACCCATAGTTGCTCACACCAGGGTTTTGGTAACACACGGTTTCAATTATCCCTGGTCAACCTGCTCTAAAAATAGGTGAGCACAGTATAGTAAGATACTGAGAGAGAAAGATAGAGAAAGATCATATTCATATAACTTTTATTATACTATATCATCATAATTGTTCTGTTTTATTGATAATTATTGCTAATCTCTTAATGTGCCTAATTTATAAACCAAACTTCATCATAGGTTGTATGTATAGGAAAAACCACAATACAGTACATATAGAGTTTGGTATTATCTGTGCCTGATCCAGTGGGGGTCTTGGGACATCTGGCCTGTGGATAAGGGGTGACTACTGTCCTTTTCCCGCTTACCTGATAGGAGCACCTTTGGCTTGTGCTGGTCTCAACAAGACTGTGATGGTGGTGGCAGTTTCATTGAGAGAGGCATCAACTCCTTCATAGTCAGGTAACGTTGGAGCTGATAAGTGATTAATGAGAGGGAAAAAAGGTTCAGTCAGTTCACAGTGATGTATCATAGGTCAAGATGAATAGATGATTTTAAATGAGGGGAAAAAAATCAATTTAATACCTAATTATCTACAATGTACTTGATTCTGTAGCATAACATCTGCCATTGAATGCTAACCCTGGAAACCTAAAAGCATCAAAAGCTATTAAGTGAAGATATGTTGTTGAAATGCAAATAATCGGCAACTTCTGACACACATCCAAACATTTCACAGCAACTTTAAACTCTTGGGCTCAATTAATCCTCTTGCCTTAGCTTCCCTAGTAGCTGGGACTACAGGCACCCATAATACCCAGCTAGTTTTTCTATTTTTAGTATAAGACAGGGTCTCACTCTTGCTTGGGCTGGTCTCAAATTGGTGAACTCAAGCGATCCAGCTGCCTTGGCCTTCCAGAGTGCTAGGATTACAGGCATGAGCCACTGTGCCTGGCCTAAGACCCAGCATTCTTATCTGGAGTGTATTTGCAACTGTAGTCACAAGAAAATGCGTGATGAATAGGAACCATAGTTTGTATTTACCACACCATTAGTTGCCAGATTCCTAAAATGAAGAAACTTATAAATTTTCAAATATTTGATAATGTTTAGCTGAGGACTCCTTAATCTTAAGCTAGGAGAAGAGTAACTTCAAATGGCTTTTCATGATTTCCCAAAGGTGTTTAAAGGAGTATACCCCCAGTGAAATGTGTACCTTATCTTCATTACTTCATTTGCCATTACTGAATATACACTACGCATCAAGTTTTATGAGAAGTGCTGTAAATGTAAAGATGAACATGGCTACTGGTATTTATAGTATTAAAAGTCAAAGTTCACATTTTCTGAAAAATAAGACTCATAAAAAAATGAACAAACAAACAATAACAACAAAAAGACTACAGTTAAATGTTCAGTGGTCTAAAGAAAAGACAATTCTCCCAAACAGTGGTTCTTGAATTTGTGGATCAGAAGCATCTGGAGGGCTTCCTAAAGCACAGATTGCTGTCTCTCTCCTTACAGTTCCAGATTCAGAAGGTCTGGGGAGAGACCTGATAACATGCATTTCTAGAAAGTTCTCAGGTGAGGCTGACGATCTTGGTCTGAGGACCACATTTTCTAGATTAGTGTTGGGAGTTGGATGATTAAACAGAGACGACGTGGAGTTTAGGTCATTGTTGAGTTCAATCTCAAAAAAAAAGAGTAAAAACTCCTCAGGTTGAAAAAGCAAGGACTAAAATTCCAGAGTAAGGAAACAGAATATTTGAAGATAGCAAAACGTGAATGGGAATGCTGTATTCTAACAGCTGTACACAGTCTGCTGTACCTGGACCTCTGAGTTCACTGGAGGCCGTGGAGGAAGAGGAGAGTCCTATAATGAAGGGCTCCAAGCGCCACTAATCGTGAGTGCATGTTTGGACTTTATTCTACTGGATATAATCCAACAGATTTTGAAGATATTTAAGAAGAAAATACCTGGTTTTATAAGATTGATATGAAAATATTTTGAAGAAGTTTAAGTCTGAAGGCGGGGATAACAGATATTTCAATGATCTGTTTAAAATATGATCCAGATGAAATAAAGGCATAGTGACATTAGGAGGAGACAATCATCTGAGAGTTCTTTAGGAAACAAAAACAACAAATGTTAAATAAAGTGCACACATAATATGTAGATGTGAACTGTGTGCATATACGGGTAGGTAAGTGTATATTAATAATGCCTCTGACCGCTGCACTTCTAATAACTTGATATGGCTTTTATTTAAATTGCTTTAAAAATGCTGAGGGATGTAATTACTGGGCTTAGGAAATAGAATTAATAATAAATTATCTTAAAAGTTCAAGTGATGCTGAGAACCACACTAACCACAAATGTTATTAGCCTTAGCTGTGATTAATAGTTGTACTCAACGTAATGTGATTACAACCAAGATTTTAAGGTACAATCCAGTACTCATTGTACTTAGGTTAATACAAGTGAAACTGCAATTAAATAATTCAGAGAAAAGCCTAGCTCAGTGTTTAGGTCTTTATAAGGAACCTTCTCATATATTTCTCTCATATATCTGAACGATATATGTATGTATGTATGTAAATATGTGTGTGTGTAGGTATATGTATATGTATACATCTAAAAAACATCTGTTTGTTCAATGTTTTTAGTTTTATGTTTATATAAATTATATATCCATCTCCACTGAAAGATCTTACTCAATTATAGCAATACTGCTAATTCTACAGGGTAGAAAACACGTGTCAGTACATCATAACATCGTCAAGTTTTAAATTCAAGTTAAGTGACTGAATAAATATATTAAACTGATGATTTAGAATTGTTCTATCAGGAAATAAAAAAGCAATTAAAAAACATTGTTATTTTCTAATGCAATGGATGATATTTTAACACTCTTTTTATTAGAACAGTAAGATAAATCAAGTGTTATGCAAAGGGTCTACAGCTCATATTAAAACAGCTAATTTTATTTATTACATAAATTTCTAACATTTGATTCTGTTCAATACATTTCCAAATAAAATTTTAGACTTAAAATAAACCAGGGAGCATGAATTTAGAGCATGTAGCATCCTCATATTTATGATACAAATGTTATAAATTCTGAAAAATGGTAAAATTGCTAATGAATATTCTGATGCATCATTAGTATATGCTATATAGAACTATAATAAAAATGAACACAAATAAAAATAATTTACAAAGTCAAAATTAGTATATTTATTATATTGTACTAATATAACTTTATTATGCAGCTGACTTTTAAAACATTTATTTTTCAAATTTAACTATTCAATAATATATGTTCATTTTAATAATATTAAATACATAAGAGAAAACATTATATAAAACTTTGGTAAACTTAGGACATATTTCAACGCCAAATCTTAGTAAGAATTTAATCAGGTTTAACTGATGATTTGACTGAAGGAGAAATAAGATCTGTAAATAATCTAGTCAAATGCAAACTATGCAACTGTGAACATAACAGAGTGTAAAACTTAATTATATTTGTTTATCTCCCTAAAATTCTCCTGCATGTTCCCAATCTGAAGTTTGGATGCGTTTATGTAAGATTTCTAAGAGAGAAAGAAAACCTGTTTGTTTAAAATTATCAGAACATCAGAGCAAATGGAAAAAAGACAAGCTACGTTGTACTATAATACTAGAGCAAGGATCTTTGACCCTTTTCTTGAGACAATCCATTTACAGTAAAGCTCTGCTACCATAATAATACAAACTCCTCAAAAGTACAATCTACTAGCATTTATAATGAACTCTAAAAAGATTTTAAATAAAGACATTATGTAATATTTTAAAAGACTATCAAAAATGACTATTTGAAACATGTTTAGGTCTGGGTACACTACATATAATCAATAATCTGTACACAAATAATTCTATAATGTGCCTTCAATTACACATAACTACATTAAAGATCCAATAAGGAGATGAGTTATCTCTGGGTGTGTATGTAATTCCTCAGGACACGCTACTATAAACCATGAGCACAGTCGATTCTACTTGTCCTTTATTCATATGCATACCTGAGATATTGGTGGTCACGTTGATGGCTGTGGCAGGCCCAAAGCCTTTGATTGTGCTCGCTCTTATGAAAAACTGGTATGTGGTTCCAGGGTGGAGATGCATAAAGACATGGTGTGTACTGTTCCATAAATTTGATACAGTCTGGGGAGGTCCAGCCACTGGGACTGCAGGATCAAATGATCTTATGCTGCTATAGCTGACCTGTTTTAAGAAGAAATATATTTCCTATTACACATAAATCCAATATTAGTAACAACAGTTGTCAATAGACCCTTTTAAAATATGGTAGTATGAAAGAGCCCCCACATGGAATCATTCAGAACCTCTTCCCACATGTTTTCCTTCTCGCTTTGCTATGGTTACTCATGTCATTCGGTATTTATCTTTCTCCCTCTCTTTATTTTTCACCATCTACCTACAGATACATCTAGAGTTATATCTGACAAGACAATATGCATAAGTTAATTTACCTAGACATGCATACATACATGCAAAACACACCTGGAACATAGAGTGTTCAATAAATGTTTATTATTAACATATTTTATGTTTTGTCCAAGTCACATAACGAATTTCATGTAAAGAGCATTCAAATATGCTCACATAGTCACAAGATGCAAGACTGAACTAGTGATTCTCATTCCCAGGATTCATTCTCTAGTTACTAGAGATTTAAGCCTCTATGCTCTCTAATCAACACTGACCGTGTGGGAAGAGAACTACATGTTTGTGCGATTAAAATGTTCCCATCATTTTTTTTCTTTTTAGTTTCTCTTATTTGAAAAGATAAAGATTTATATTCAAATTTGACATGAAGCGCGGGAGTAGTCAGTTACAATGTACCTTGCTTTTTGGTGTTAACTCCTTACTCTGAAACAACTGACATTCAATGGCCTCTCCTACATCCCAGTATGATATGAGTTTCTTAATTTTATAGAAATGAAAATTGGGATTTTTATATGTAATTATTCATTACTGTGACCATCAGAAAGTCTGTGTGACCAGAAAATAATAAAATAATATTCCCTAAAATAATAAAACAGCAACAGAAAGCATGCATTTACTTAAGAACAATGAAAATTCTAAATACTCTACAATGTATATTTTGATACTCAATTTTAAAATCAAAGACTTCACAAATTATGACAAAAAAGAATGATTCCAATCCCTAATCCTTCCTCACTTACTTCTTTTCCATTACTTCCCTCTAACTTTTTCTTTTTTTCCCCCCTAAGATTCCTTCAATCCACATTTCAATTAACTTCCTTGTTCTCCCAATACCTCATATTGAGTGATGATTCCATTTGGATCCAAAGGTTCTTTCCAGTTCAAGAAGATCTTATTTTCGAAGGATGTTCCTTGAAGAGATTTAACTGGTACAGGACCAGGCACTACAAAGATATGCATTTATTGGTTATGAGGATGTTGATATCAGAAAAAGAAAAAACAAATTGTGTAGGCAAGATAAACAAAATTAAACATAAAATAAATAAAAACGTATTCTTCAAAAGAAAATAAACTATATGACCCATCTTCTGACTTTACTTTGATATATGGGAACATAAAGAAAGTCTATAAAATTATACAGCAGAAAATGTAGAAATGCAAAGTAATTTTTATTCAAGAGAATATTCTATCACCTCTGAGAATTGTATAAATTATGTATTCTCATTTTCTCTGTTGTATACCTCTAATAACATGAAGATCTTATTTGTAATTTGTTTCAAGAACAGGGTTATATTCCCTGAAAGATTTTTTGAAGATTATGATAATCCCCTAAAGAGCCTCTATAAACAAAGTTCATAAAACAATGAATTATAATAATAATTAGCACTCTTTGGACTCAAACACCAAATCACATAGCACTGACTAGAAATGCCCATTAATAGCAACCTGACATTTACAGCTTATTTTCTATACTTTAAAAAGGCAGTGTTACTATAATTAAAAATTAAATTTTTAATTTTAACTATAATTAAAAAAATTATGTTATATGTTATACACGCATAGGTTCAAATGTCATTACTTTTAAATGAAAATCACTTTTTCAAAGCTAAGAATCAGCCATTTTGTAAAATTAGACTTGTTTAAAACTCAACAATCTGCATAACTCCTTTTGAAGTATCATAGTACCAAACTATGACCGGATTTACAAATGTCACGTAATAGGCAACACACAACAGCAAGGTGGAATCATGCCTCAGCTTCTCTTGACCAAACACAAGACACTTCAGCTAATAGGTAGTCCCCATCCCTGGGTATTAACAAGGTAAGTTCTGTACTTAGTTTGAATTTGTACATAGGTTGAAACAGGTATATTTGTTTCTGAGTGGGAGCTGCACATAAGTTGGATGTTTGGTATTTGGGAATTGTATTACGTATTTTCCTTTTATATCTTTAAATACCTCATTTATTCACATAAATATACAGTTTCTAATTCTGATCATATATTAAAATGTATGCTATCTATCCCACATTGCTTAAAACCTTGTTTTCTTTTAAAAATATCACCTAATATTGGACAAGTATGCTTTTTAACTAATATTTTCCCTTAATCGAATGTTTCAGTGAACTTCACACATGACATTATCTGGAAATGTTGTTTCAAAGTAAACAGCAATTTTGTGAGGACTGAAATAAATTAAAAATCACTGGATCACAGGAAATGTTGCATCATGGTCAGCAGCATTGAGAGATTCTGCATGATCTGTCACAAGAGTAAGGTTTATTTCTATTTCTAAGGTGACTATGGATGATGTTATGACCTCTGAGACAGACAACATAATTTGGCACATTAATTGTAAATTCATAAAGGAAAGAAATCCACCATAAATAGAAAAGATGCCCCCGTTAAACATCGGAAGGTATGTTTCCGCGTCTGTCAGCTGAAGGCACAGAGGGAAAGTAACCAAAGACATCGCGCCCTTCCTGCTTTGTAGCTTCAGCTCAGGCCATGCAGCCAGGCAACAGAAGGGCAGTGACAGTCCCTGTGTGCCATCTGCAGACACTGCTGAGGCAGCCATGGGCATCGGTTGGTTTTTCAAGAGAGTACCTCTTGTTTCTGCTCTATCAAATGACAAACTCCTGATTGTAATTAAGGAAAAGCTATTCCTCTTTGTATGTCTCAAATGGAAAGTGGATGTCAGGGAGTGGAGGGAGCAAAATCCCAATGAGTAAATTAAAGTTTATTTCATGGCACAATAACAGTCATGGTCCCCCAATACAACTTGGCCTCAAAATACTATGAAATAGAAGGGATGTATTTCAAACTGGGCCCAAACGGTGACTGTTTAAAATGCTGACGTAATTCTGCATTGACGTGGGGTAGAATTGGAGAGCAGCTTCCCTTGAATTTTGTATTCCTATGTTCTTCTTATACATGTTCTATTTTGTCAGTAGAATTCACTTCAAGTACCTACAGGTCACATTTGTAAGACGGAAAAGTTTGTGGGGAAGTTATGGGCAAGAGAGTGCTTATATTATAGTTGGACTAGTACAGTGAGTGTACTACAAGAGTTACCTACACTTAGATGAACTTCAAACCGCCATAAAGAAGCAGGGGTGAGGTGTGGCCACAGACCAGTTATAGTCAATAACTCTACATTTGACGGAAGAGGACGTCTGCAGTTATAAGAGACAACGTCTCCATGTAATTATGATTTGTGTTAATGCAACGTGAAGTTACTAGAATCATTATCTTGGCAGTCTACAGATTGCTGGGAATGTCACTTCACATTTCCAAATCAACAATTTGTAACGGAGACACAATGCTGACTTTTATTCCCTGTTTGATATTTACATGAGTGCTGTTTCAGCTAATTTTTGTTGAAAGTTCTTTAAAATATAACTCCCAAAACGGAAAAAAATGATATATGGGTGGGGCAAGATTACATTAAATAAGCATTATGGCCTTTAAAATGTAATAAATGTACATTTAAAAATAGCTTTGTAGTCTCAAAAAAAATGTCCCCAAACCAGGCTTTTCTGCTGAGCTAACTTCATCATATTGATTTTTATGAATGCTGGAATAAAAAATGAAAACAAAACCTCATATGAAAAATTCTGCCCATGTGTTAAAAAATGTGTGCAATAAATTAAGTATAAATTCTACCTTAGGGTTCTGGTGGGAAATCGTTGTAGCCTTGCTCTTGTGATTTATGGTTACCCCCAGAATTCTTTTCATAAAATTATATCCTTTTATTAGGTGGTTGATAATTTATCCCTTTTCCACGAATATAGGCCAGCAATCATTTAGCAAGATAGACTTAATCAGATCATCATAATCCATCGATCTTGCAACAACAGATTATGAATTAAATATTCTTTTCCCCCAAAGGAACATTAAGACTCATCAAGTACCAAAAGCTCACATGTACAGATTTGAAGACTGAATTACTTACAAATGCTTCATAACATTTTTTCACAATTTAGTGATTCACAGTCACTAAATGCTATGCGAACAAAACAAACAAACAAAAAAACACACTCACAACAGAAGAGATTCATTGGTGACCACACTATGAAATAAGAAGCTATTCAGTATCATTAACTCGTAAAAAAATTCTATAAAAAAAGGTTACTACAATTAGGTTTGAAAATAATATTAAAATTAGAATATACAGCTAATGTCATTTTATTTTCCCAAGACTATTCTGGATAAAAAAACCAGCACAGTCTTAAGATTGATCAATGTAAGGCATAATTTAAAATTCCAAAGCAATTCGTTCCCTGATTATTAGTCTAGTCATATGTGTACTGAAAATGCATTTAAAAATTTAATGCAATATAAAAAAGATTAAATAAGGCTGACTGAATTCTATTCTTTGTGGGAAAGAAAGACAAACCAATACAAAATACCATCAAAATGTGTTGTATGGCTGGACAGTGATTGGCTAAAGAAAACATAAAACTTTTGTGACCAAGTCTACCATTACCAGTTAAGAAACCATGTTGTGGCTCAGCGCCTGTGGCTTAAGCGGCTAAGGCGCCAGCCACATACACCTAAGGTGGCGGGTTCGAATCCCCAGCCCGG